AGCCGTGCCAATCCGTGCTCAGTCTATGCTCAGTCTCTCCCGGTTCTCCCAGAGCCACGAGTGGTACATGTTTAACTTGTGGTCCTGCGGCTGCACCTAAAACACACAACAGGGTTCTGTATTTACTACAATACCTGCTCTCACACACCTCGCTGCTCTGACGTTTCCCCTACACACCTCGCCGTGCTGCAGTACACCAGCCTCCGCCCCCACGAACCAGGGAGTACGGCGTTTGGCCAGCCCTGAAACCCCCCACCACCCTGTGAATCGGGAGGGGGTTCCTACATCGGAGAGCAAAACAGCCCCTCGACTGCCCCTCACAGCCCTCCGCCACGGGAGGAGCCCAGCAGAGCCAAGTCCCACCAACACTGATCTCGGAGGGATGCAGGATCTGGCTGGCAGGAAACAGGGAACCGGTTCTTAACTGGGGCAGGGAAGAGACTCTCACCCCCACATCAAGGCACCGAGAAAAAGAATGCACTGACAGTGGGAAATCGCAGGAGGGAGTGGGAAATCGCAGGAGGGAGTGGGAAATCAAGGTGACAAACCTCCGTTTACAGGTTCAGACTTGTAAAAGGCACATTATAGAATCATAGAATGGTTTGGGTTGGAAGGGACCTTAAAAATCATCTAGTTCCAACCCCCCTGCCATGGGCAAAGAAATCCTCCACTACACTTCTGGGATTCAACCTACTGAAGATATAAAAACTGCCTTTTTTTTTTTGCATCCAAGTGAGTCGACCGAAGCCAAAGGACAGGGCCGCGCTGCCGGCCGCAGCACCCACCTCCTTCCACTCATTGACACAGAAGATCCTGTAGGAGTCGTTGCCGTACTTGCCGATGCCGTGCAGCTCGATGGGGTACTTCCACCGCTTGCTCAGGTACTCATCTGCAACGCACAGCCACCGCCGTCACTGCCTGCAGCGCTCGCAGAAGGCAACTCTGGGCAAAACCCCGACTGCTGTGGGACACATCTCCACTCGGGAACATTTCACAAGCTCTACCCGTTTCCTGGTGAGAGCAGGCAATGAATCCCTACGGGGTACTTCTTAAGCACCTTGAAACAAATCACTGTGGGCGAGATTTAATTAAATCTCTCTCCTCAGAACTCACAGAACAATGCTTTTATTCTAAGTATAGAAAACATCAGGGTCATGGAAAGATTCCAGCTGGAAGGGCCTTCTGGCGGTCACCTGGTGCAAACCAGAGCAGAGCCAGCCTGTAGTGCTGCAAAACACTGAACCTGTCTTGCAAGCGTTGGTACCTCTTTCCACCCAAGTCTCCAGCCAAAGGTCTCCTGCAGAACTCCTCACACAGGTGGTATTTTATGCTCAGTTAGACGAGAGCATCAGCAGCTTTGCACATGTAAGACCAACATATCCCAACGCTGCACAAAATAAACCGTCAGGAATGTTTGCCAAACAAAGAAAAGCCACAGGGCACCGTTTGACAAAGCTGCTGCTCGTCTTGCCAGCACGATTCACACCATTCCACAGGCACACTCAGGAAAACCCACCTGAGAATTTGATGATAGTTTTCGCTCTGAGTTCGTAGAGGCCGAGAGGTCTGAGCAGCTCGGACATTCCTTTCCAGTCTGCAGTCCTCGTTATTTCGGGAGAAGGATACTTCTTCAGGAACTCCCAGAGCACAGGAATTGCCGCTTTACCTAGTGAAAGAAACCATCATGAACAGAAAGCTGGGGGGGTAACTCTCTTTTTTGATTATCTAGTTGATTTATGCTTTTGAAGTGAGGTTTTTCTGAGGCAAGAGTTAAAATTAACAGATTTTTTTTTTATTTTTACACTGACACAAGTTAATATACGTTTTTTCTTCCACTAATGCCATTAAAAAATGGCGGCTGTTCTGACCCTGTAACACCACCCCATTTACACAGCATGAAGTTGTTTTGCTCTACGTACCTGAGGTTTTATTGAGAAATATGGTTGCGATGAGAAGTTTCCACGGATCGTGGAAAAGCGTTTCCTGGACCAAATTAAAAGGAGAACGTGGAGGAGTCCATTTTCTGAAGGCCTTCCTTCTAGGTGGGCTGGGAGCTGTACGCAGAGGCAAGACAGGAACATTTACTGGACAGTAAAGGGTGGATTTACCTATTAAATGAAAGTAATTAAAAAAATTGAGGCCTTTTGAAGCAGATTCACCTTTGTGGGGTGCTGTACCTGGATGGAGCAATGGCAATTCACACCCAAGTCTGGCAGAGCTGCGAGGGACCGTGCGTCGCCTGGCACAGACTGCAGCAAGAGCCAAGGCTGCCCACGTGTGCCCCCGTGTTGCACAATTACACAGCTTCTTCCCGAGGGAAGAGGCCCTGCCCAGCGGCCGCCATGCTTCCGTGCGAGCGCAGAGCAGCAGTCACAGGGCACGGCTTCCCCGACAGGAGAAACACCTTGGCAGTCTGAACTTCACCACAGCCCATTCACCCCCCCACCTCGCCGCTGCCAAGGGCTGCCCAGGCGTTTGATGCCAGCCTCAACGGCCCTTGGCAATGCACAGGCCACCGAGGTTCCAACGGGACAAATCGGCACTCGTGCAGGAAGCCGAGCTCTCTGATGTCATGACCAGCATGACCAGCCTAAAACTGGGAGAGATTCTTCCATAACATCACTTGGTCTTGAGCCATCCTATTCCTATATTCCTGTATTATTCCTAAAAAATAGTATTTTATTTATTTTAATAAAAAAAGATTTATTTCTCTAAAGAGTATTATACCTTCTTTACTGTATTTACTTGAAAAATACCGACTTGTTTTCCTCCTATCCACTTGTGTCCGTGGGATAGACTCTTCTGTAAAAAAAAGAAAAACCACAAAGTACTTTGCTGTCACACTTCATGCACCATTTCCACTTCATGTTGTGATGGAAATGCCAGGATTTCTTGTAGGTGTACAGAACAGAAATGTGCTTTAGATTCACTCCAGCACTCCTGTGTTTTGACTTTCTGTAAAGTCTTGAGAAGATAAACCCTTACTTTGCCACAGCGAAGGGTTTCCCTGTGCCTGAGGGAACAATCTCACACTACAACCAGGGATTAGATGTCGTCCACATACTCTACCATGTGAAACAGGCTAGAAGTAGCCTTTTTGTGACCAAAACTGACCAACCGTGCAACAACATTGAAAGAGCTAGTGCAGGGAAGGTGATGAATGTTCTGATATCATACTGTACAGCTGAAGAAATCAGTAGAGGAAGTTCCAGTTGTGAATAAATCTGCATTAAATGCTCTTGAATAAAGAAACAAGATTCAGATATCAAAGCAGCTTGACCTGAAACAGAACACTTTGCTCGTATAATCAGGGGAACCCCCGGCAGAAAGCCAGGACAACGTGGACAGAAAGCCAGGACAACATTCTGCTCAAACACACAAGCACCTGGTGACATTCTAACTGCTGTGAAGCTTTTCTTGTCACACGGCTGCAAGATGTCAGCACCTCTCTCCGTGTCAGACTGCGAATCCTGATTACCTGCATTCCTTCCATCTGTCTCTTCCCCTATTGTCAATCCCTTGATTTCCTCAGGTTTTGCAGAAGACGCGTCACTCAAACCTGTCTCCAGAC